TGCGGCTCCCAAGCGAGATGCTCCGGGGACACAAGGATCGCCTCCGCTGACGGACTGCCAAAAAGTATTTTTCGATGTCTTTTGTTTCCTGGCAACGAGCGGCCCCGTGATTGTGACCTAAAACACGTTTATTTTGGGGTCAGCGCTCCAGACCCTGTCTCTGCTGAGGCGGGGTCCCTCTGCTGGACTTGAGGGTCCGTCTACCCCTCACACTTCAAACCCACTGCTACCTTCCACTTCCCGCCCCAAAACGAGAACCGGAATTTCCCCGGACTTGGAGCCGACTGGGGAGGAGGGCGGCTCTCCTTGGAGGCAAGGAAACTTCTGGTCAGTTGCCACCAGCCAACACCCGAGCCAACACCACCGGCCACGGCCAGGGCTCTCCAGTGAGCTTCTCCGCACAGACACGGACAGCATGCTCCTTAGACTACTGGAAATTGTCAATATTTGATAAAGACATACCCTTTGTACTTGGTGGGTCAGCTTTTTTTTTTTTTTTTCTTTCACTCCTAACATTCCCTTCAGGGTTCAACCTGGCAGGCATTCCTGGCATCCCCGGGTCTGTCTAAACAAGCAGGACTAAGAAAGCAGAGGGCAAGCCGGGCAGGGGCCGGCGGCTGGACAGGAGTACGGAAGAACGGGGCAGGTCCGGCCACTGTTTGGCTGGGAGGCTCTCCACTTGGGACACTTCTGGTCTGGTGGCTACTGTGACTAGTTGGGGGTAGGGCTGTGGGTTGCCTTTCTCGGGGAGAGCCCCTCCAGCGGGGAGGGAGCAGTTGGCAGGAAGGTGCACCTGTTGGGGGCTTGGAGGGAGGCGGGGGCAGGGATGAGGCCAGTTTCATTTGTAAGGAACCTCCTGAGCCTTTGTGGCCGGAACCCTGACAGACCCAGCGCACTGCCCAGGACAGGAGACAGGACAGGAGAGGCGTGGGCGATGGGTAATGAGGCCAACACCCCCGGTGGGATAAAGGGAAGCCTGCCTGATGTGTGAGCCGAGACAAGCCTTGGGTGCGGCCACACGGCACTTCCCAAGCACAGCCCGGGGAAGCCTCCAGGCCAGGGGAGGGTGTAGACGCAGCCCTAATCGTCCTTTGGGTCTGTTCTCTTTGCCATAAACCACCCAGAAGATGCCTCCCTCCCGGGGAAGGCAGGACGGACTCTCTTCAGGCTGCGTGTTCAGAGGTGTCCCCTGGGAGCGGGAGCACCGTCCCCCTCCATGCTGAGCCCAGACCGCGTTAACACGCCAGCTTCTTTCTTAGCTGTCCCCACTGGGAAGACGGCGGCCGGTGTTCCTTGTTTCACAGTGTTTCTCGGAGACTGGCCAGCAGGGGGAGGGAGCCCCACAGGCTCTGAGCCCATCCCGACTCCCTGAAGGAGCCCGGAGCCAGCTCCGTCCCAAGCTCGCTCTCCGGCCGTCTCCAGACAAGACTTCATCTTGGAAAGTCACGCCTGTACATGTCTACGGTCTACACTTACGTGAAAGCGCGGTGTGTGCAGACAGGAGTGCCTGCGTCTAGGGTAATGCGGCCATCCTCCCCCTCCACTGAGCACTCTCTGGGGAACCACCTTCCGGGGTGTCAGAGCCCCCCCTCGGGCCCTAACCTCCGGCCAGGGCTCCGGGGCCACGGGACCAGCTCATTCCAACGGGCAGCAGGCTCTGCTCACCAGAAGGGGTGTCTGTGCCCACAGGGACCTGCAGTCCCCCCAGGGTACACCCCTACTGCACTCACAGGAGCCGTGGACTCAGGACTACGGCGGGTGCGTGTGGCTGCCCCTGCCCCCCATCCCCCGTTTCCTCACACCCCCTTCCCCTGAGGCTGGGGAAGGAAGTACACTGCGCGTGCCATTTCACAGATGAGGAAACTGAGGCTAAGTCTGGGGTCTCAGGCATCACAGCTGGGCTGGAGTCTGGCACTTGCTCCAGTGGCCATATGCCTGAGCCCCCCCACCGTGTGCCCCCTTGTCCCACCACAGGAGTTGGGGACCTGTCCCTCAACTCGCTGGGGTCCATGAACCTGGGCGCAGGCCCAGGCGTCCCGTGGCTCTGTCTGCTCCTGGAGGCCAGAGTCCGGTAAAGGAATGCCACAGCCCACCCCCCACCCCAACCTGTGTGCCCCAGAGAGGGTCAGCGCGGGGCAGGAGGGGCCCCAGCTGCACCGGTGCTCGCCAGACCCCACACACGGTCCTGGAGCCTTTCTCCCACTGTGCTGGGGGAGGGGCACCTTGGGAGAGCAAAGCCAAGATCTCACGGCATGGAGGACAA